TAAACACATGCCGTTTGCAGCAACATGGATGGAGCTGGAAGGGATCATGCTCAGCAAAATAAGTCAGAAAGAAAAAGAAAAATACCAGATGGTCTTGTTGTAGAGCAACCCCGATACAAAACGGGGTGCCTGACTGTGGGTCCTCACCCGCGCGCTTAAAAGGACTTATCAATGTTCTACTGCAGGCACACATGAAAGGTTAATAAAAGGTTTATTTACAAAGGGAAGGGGAAATGAGGAAATGTACAGCTCTGGGAGAAAAGTGGGAGACAAAGTTTTAAATGAGTCCTACCCGATTCGCCGATTAGGAATCCCAAAATGGCGCTCTGAGAGCTGGCCGCCAGCCAGGAGCGGTGAAGCCAGGAGGCGAGCGATCGCGAGCCAGAGAGCCCAAGGCCCACATGTTTGGTTTTTTATATCCAACCTGGCTGCCCAACTCCACCCTCAGGTCCCAGCCACCCTCCCTTGGTGGTGATGGGATTTGTCTTTCCCAGAGTCTTGATGGCTTTAGTCTGGAGTGGGGGTGGAGTCCACAAAGCCTGTATGGGATTAACTCAGAACATCACTTCCCCCTAACAGTCTCACTCATAGCAGGAATTTAGAAAACCTAAATAAGGGACCAGGAAAAAGAATAACTATAAGAAAGAAAAAATCAAAATCAACAAACAACTATGAACCAGAGACACACTATGGGGGGGATGGCGAGGAAAGAAGGGATTGGGGTCAAAATAAGGGGGTTGCTATTGTATGGGGAACATAAAAATAAAATTTAAAAAATTTTTTCAGTGGAAAAATGGTAAAATACTCAATTTTAAGGAATATTAAGCTAATATTGAGGTACAAAGTCACATAAAAGTTAATTACTGACTACGTATGGCTTCCTTGCTTTCCTTAACCTCATAATACTACTTGGTTTCTAAGAAAATAAGAAAAGCATTAAAAAGCAAATTTAAGTAAATTAGAGAATAATTCATAGCTGGATTTTATGTACTATAAAAACTATTGCATTTAAACCAGTTGAACACTTAGAGTTATATAGTTCAATTTAATGTCTCGATGAGGGTCCTGAAGTCCCTAAAAGATAAAGAGGTTCTGTTTTCCCTAGTAGTCCCTGAGGCTCCTAGTGGGTCTATGATACTGCTTGAAAGACTTTTTCCTTCCTAGGATATCACATAGGTCTCATATGAACAACACACTGCTACAGTCATCAAGTCAGGATTTACACTTAAAGTTCCTCATTCACAATCCATCTCTGGGTGAGTAGTTGAGGCAAGAAATGAGAAGGAAAGGATAGAGTGGGGATTTGAGTCCAGGAACAACCATCTTCTCTCCCTCCCCTCAGGACACACACGCACACACACATGCATTCATACACACACACACACACACCCACACACACACACCTTGCAAATCAAAGAAAAGGCCTGGGCAGGCTTTACTATGTGGAACAAGCCACTTGCTGTATTCCACCTCACCAGGATCCTTCTCACTTCTACTCATCTGCACAACTGGTTAGCAGCCCTTCTCTTAGTCTGGACACAATACCAGCAAGAGCTTGATAGTATTTTTCACTTAAAAAGGTCCGGGAATCTCTTCTTAATAGAAAATCAATTAAAGGACAAAAGACTCACAAGCAACCACCAATCTGATGCAGTAAAACCTCATTCTCAGGAATGACCCTGTCTTCTGGTTGACCACAAAAAGGCTGGCTTAAATCCACACATCACAGATTTCCTCAACTTCCCACTGTCTATCTCATGGCTGTTGTTTTTATTCCTCAGTCCCTAATTCTGTTTCTTAGGAAGAAATACTTCAGTTCTCTGTGCCCCCAAGTTTAAGTTTTAAACAATCCTTTTACATATTAAAAAAACAAAAATCACTGAGTTTCCAAGGAGCTTTTGTTTATGTTGGCTATAATCTCTCAATATTTGTTGTATTAGAAATTAACTCAAGAAAAGGTTTAATTAAATCACTTAAATTATTCATTTAAAATGACATATTAGGGCCTCCCTGGTGGTGCAGGCAGTTGAGGGCAGCACTGTGAAGCTGTCCGCAGCCTCTACAGTGCCAGTTCCATCACCACCAGCTGTGGAGATAACTCACATGGTGGGGCAGACCTCTCTGGTCTCGCCCACTGCTCCTCTCTGCTCCCCTCAGCAGTGTATTTCAGTCAGTCTGCCTGTTCTCTTCCCTGCTCTGTCTCTGGTGAATACTCTCCTCACCCTCCTGCGTATCTGGCCTGTACCCTGGTTCTTATATAAATAAATAAATCTTTAAAAAAAATAAATGACATTAATACACGTAGTATTTTCATGGAAAAAAACAATTTAAAAAATTAGTAAGAAGAGTGATACTGTTTTTCAATTTTTGTAATACTCTTGAAGGTGAAACAAGATGGCGCATCTACTCCCATGGTCAGTCTGGTATGACTGTCATAGTCATATAGTCCTGTAGCCTCTGAAAACTCCACTGTACACTCCAGAGAAAATGAAAGTCAAGGGCATAGAATGTCTTAGTGTTACTCTGGAAACAGTTTAAACTTGAAAGAGTATCAAGGAATTTCCCAGCATCCTCCCAAAGCTGGAAGAGAACCACTGCTGTAGTCAAGCCATCTTCTCTCACAAATCCTACCTCTGATTTGAGGGGTATCCACTCTCTAACTTGGACTCCAATCTCACTCTCTTAGCTCCATTATCACCACCAAATGTACAACCTTCCCTAATCTAAAAAAAAAAACAACAAAAAAACTGAAAAAAAAAAAAAAAAAACCACAAAAAACCTTCTACTTAAGTTGTCTCCTCCTCACCTCAAGTCTCCCAACTTCTTGAAGTAAGAAGTAGTTACTATTTATTATTTTATTTACCAAAGCAAAAACAGAATCATAAATTTCCAGTGTCATCCCTAAGACTATACCCTCAACCTATTTATATTTTGTAAGCTAATAATCAGAATGAATTTTTTATTATCTTGTGACTTATTGCCTATTCAAATAGTTAAATGAAAAAAATATTCTCAAGGAAGGTTACACTCTTTCAGTAACCCTTAATTTATTCCAATTCTTTTGGTGGCCTAAGGTGTGGGTCAAAGGAGTAGGATAAGACTCCCAGACAAAGAATGTACTAAACAAAATGTTAAAGCCATGTTGATTTTATACTGACACATCTTATTATCTAAATAATGTTGACAATTCTTGTATCATTTTGATATATATAACTGTAATTTAAAAACATTTAAATATATATTACCTTTAAAATTTCATAACCTGTGATATTAATAGGGATTACATTAACATTTTATAGTTAAAAAAGCAGTTCTAAGAGAAAAATTACTTGCTCAAAATTGCATAATTAGAAGGATGCACATCAGAAACCACAAACAGAATTTCTATTTTCACACTCAAACCATATCATATTATATTAAACAGTGCATCAAAAATTCTTAAAATATAAAAATAAGTTCTGGACAATTTTTTAGAGCTATTTTGGAAAAAATCATCACAAATTCCAAAGCTGAATAGAAAATACAGAAGTGAATTCTACAACTTCTGAAAACAAAAAGAACAATTTTCTGCTCCCTTATTAAAATGTAAAGAATGTAATGCATTTAAAATTAATTAAAATTTAAAGCTTACATTTTACTGAAAATTAGCTAGTTTACTAAAATCTACATTAACATGTGATATCTTAAAAAATTAGAAAAATAACTTCCCAAATTTTGTATTTAAGCATCGCAATTAACAAAGGAACTAAGAGTTGTAGGATGATACAACACCTTCTAAAATGCACTAAACATATACAGAATTCACGGATGCAGTCCTGAAATTCTTGCAAGGAACACATGGAATTGCATGGAAATTACTTAAATCTCACAATCATAATTTTTACATTATTTAAAGTATTAAAAAGTAATAAACTTTCTATATAAATCACAAAGCATTAATTCATTTTTAATCTTACTAAAATACTGCTTCCAAGTTCCCTATTTTATTCAACACCAAGACAGCTCCACAGAAGCTCAAAACATTTAAATGATTTGTTTATTGTGACACACCAGGCTGGATTATGAATTAAAAAATTCTAAATTGGGCCTCCCCTGGTGGCACAGCAGTTGAGCACTGGGCTGCGAAGTTGCCCTCAGCCTCTGCAGCACCGGTTCGATCCCCAGCCACTGGCGAGGGTCCCACATGACGCGCAGACCTCTCCTGCCGCCCACTGCTCCCCTCAGCAGTGTACTTCAGTCTTTCTGCCTGTTCTGCTCCCCGCTCTGGCTCTGGTGAATCCTCTCACCCTCCTGCGCTTCTGACTGTACCCAGTCCTTGTATAAATAAATAAATAAATCTTTTTAAAAAATCTAAATTTAAACTATTTCCTATTAAGGCTGTGAAACTTAGCTAACTCAATATCACAAATAATAATACAGAAAAATTTTAGAACTACAACACTAATCTTTATAACACACCCTGACATTTTAAAAATATGAACAGGGTAAATGATTTTCCTTCACATTTTACTCTCCCTAAATATATATGAAAGATATAGCTATTCTTAATGCACCCCTGTCAGAAGACCAAGAACCTGGAGTAAGATAAGCCATCAAGTTAGTCTCGAACCGCAAAGCTGTTTTGTTAAGAACTGTTTGAACAGGGCCTCCCCGGTGGCGCAGCGGTTGAGCGCTGGTTTGCGAAGCTGCCCGCGGCCTCTGCGGCGCCGGTTCGATCCCCGGCTGCTCCCCGGCCACCGGAGGAGGGTCCCACATGGCGCGCAGACCTCTCCTGCCGCCCGCTGCTCCCCTCAGCAGTGTACTTCAGTCCTTCTGCCTGCTCTGCTCCCCGCTCTGGCTCTGGTGAATTCTCTCACCCTCCCGCACTTCTGACTATACCCAGTGCATGTATCAAACAAGCAAACAAATAAATAAAGCATGCCTCTAAAAAAAAAAAAAAAAAAAAAAAAAAAGAACTGTTTGAACGGGTTTGTTAAGAACTGTTTGAACATTTCGCTTACCTCTGTTTCTGTGCATTGTGAATGTCCCAATTTACCTGTAATAAAAATACGAAGAGTTACTTTCGGATTTTAGCCTTTTTGTCATTGAGAGAAGTATTTGTGTTACTCTGGGCATGGCTTTATTTATATCTATGAAAATCTATGCAAATAAAAGGTAATGGAATGATCAAATATGCTAGAAAGTCCTTCTTAGAGATTTAAGTTTCAATTGGCTTATAATAAAAAAAAAAGACCAGAAAATATGCTTAATTGCATTAAGATATAAAACACATATAATGCTTAATATGCATATGTACAAATTAGTGAAAGTAAAAAAAAATAGTTTAAAGTTTTGCTTTCTTTTTAAAATACTTTCAAGGGCCTCCCCTAGTGGCACAGGTGGTTGAGCGCCGCGCTGTGCAGCTGTCTACAGCCTCTGCAGTGCCAGTTCGATCCCGGCCAGCCAGCGAGGGTCCCACATGGTGTGGCAGACCTCTCCTATTGCGCCCGCTGCTCTCCTCAGCAGTGTATTTCGTCAGCCTGCCTATTCTGCTCCCTGCTCTGTCTCTGGTGAATCCTCTCACCTTCCCACACATCTGGCCTGTACCCCAGAGTTCTGGTATAAAATAAATAAATAAATCTAAAAAAATTAAAAAAAAAATACTTTCAAGGCATTTAAATGGTACTTTTAAAATCCTCTGAAATACCTTCAAAAGTTTTTTTAGACTCCTGCAGTTTTCCCTAAATATATTTCCAGCTTAAAGACAGTGATCACTTCAATGAAAGCAGAAATGTTTCAAATTTATTTTCCCTACCATGATGGTTCTCTAATACATGATTAGGCAAAACTGTGTAATTAATAATTCTTGCAATAGAGGATCACCTAAAGAATAACTGGAACCGAACAAAATTTGGCTGAACCAAGATTAACTTCATTGTTGAAATACCATACCAAGGAAAATGTATGATTATATATTTCCATCAATTTGGGTAATTAAAACTACATTTAAAATACAGAAAGTTATTTTAAAGGAGAATCATTTATTAAATAGTTTCAACATAGAGATGACATTTATACTGGATACTAAAACATTTAATTTTCCAGTTTAAACTTTATAAATTTCATTGCCCTAAGTTCAAATATATGTTTACCTCTACCTCTTTCCATCCAACATTATCCTCCCTCTTAAACCCTTTTCTCCCTAGCCTACTACCCCCACACCACATCCAAAAGCAATTCTACCAGTTTGTGATTTTTTTCTAATGTTTAACTAGAATTTATATGACTTAGAGCAATGATGGTATCACCAAAAGAAAAAAGAAATCACAAATAATGTCTTTCATATCCCTCCCAACTCTTAAAATGGAGAATAAAGTTGAAACACACAATTTCTTTTATTATTTTTAATAAAATAATAAAAAGTATTATTTGTGAATTACCATTTTCTTACATCCTTGTTAATTTTTTTATAGTATAGGATTTCTCCCTTCAGGTGTGGTCACTATAGCTTTCCCACCACCAAAGCACCCATAGTCCTCCACCATAGTCCACTGTGCTCTTCCCCACTTTTCCCCTTTGATACCAAAAGCAGACAAGGACATCACACAAAACTGCACAGCAATATTCCTGATGAACTCAGATGCAAAAATCCTCAACAAAATCTTAGTAACCCAAATTCAATGTTAAAAGAATGAAACATCATAACCAAGTAGGATTTATTCCAGGGATACAAAGGTGGTCAACATACACAAATCACACCAACAAAAGATAAAGATCTCAAGTCATATCACTAGATACAGAAGCATCTGACAAGATTCAGTATCTGTTTATGATAAAAAATCTCCAAAAAATGGTGATAGAAGAAACATAATTAAACATAACAGAGACCATGTATGAAAAACACACATTTAACATTTTAACATTATACTTGATAGTAAAAAGATGAAAACTTTTCCTCTAAGATCAGGTACAGACAAGGATGTCCACTCTTATCACTACTATTCAACACAGTTCTGGAAGTCCTATTAGAACAATTAGGCAACAGAAAGAAGCAAAAAGGATCCAAACTGGCAAAGAATAAGTAAAACTATCATAATTTTCAGAGTATATAATATACATAGAAAATCCTAAAGATTCCATTTAAAAACTATCTAGAGGGCCTCCCTGGTGGCGCAGGGGTTAGGACACAAGCTATGAAGCTCTCCGCAGCCACTGTAGCATGAGTTCGATCCCCAGCCAGGGAGCTACCCACATGGTGCAGCAGACCTCTCCTGTCTCACCTGCTGCTCCCCTCAGCAGTATGTTTCAGTCACTCTGCCTGTTCTGTTCCCCACTCTATCTCTGGTGAATCTTCTTATCCCCCACACCTCTGGCCAATACCCCAGTTCTTGTATGCATAAATAAATAAATCCTTTTTAAAAAATTTTTTAAAAGATAAAAACTATCTAGAATCAGTCAGTACAATTAAGTGGCAGGCTACAAAAAAATCAAAATACAAAAATGTATTGTATTACTATATTCAAACAATGACTTAAAAGAGAAAAATAAATCAAGAAAACAATCCATTTACAATTGCATCAAAAAGAAATAAGTACCTAGGTGTAAAATCAATAAAAACTTTAAGATATTGTTAAAAGAAATAGAAGATACCAAAAAAGGAAAGAAGTTTTGTACTCATGGGTTGAAAGAATTAGCATTGTTAAAAAGCAATCCCCATCAAAATTCCTATGGCATTTTTTCAAGGAAATGGCACAACTATTAGTGAAATTTGTATGGAACCACAAAAGTTCTTGAATAGACAAAGGAATTCTAGCATAAAAGAAGAGTGACGTTATAACATGCCTAGACTTTATACTGCAAAGCTATAGTAATCAAAACAGTATAGCACTGGACAAAAAAATAGACACACATAACAATGGATCAGAACAGAAACTGCACTTACATGGACAGTTAACTTACGACAAAGGAACCAAAAGCATACGATAAAGTCTCTTCAACAAATCTGGTGTGGAGAAATCTTGACACCCATATGCAAAAGAATGAAAGTAATCTACTATCTCAAACCACATATAAAAATTAAATCAAAATGAGTTAAAGACTTGGATATAAAATAAATAGAAGAAAATATAGGGAACACATTACACAACATTGGATTCAGTGAAAGCAATAGTCTTGACTACAATGGCAGAAGAAACAAAAGCAAAAATAATGGAATTCTATCAAGCTAAAAAGCTTCTGAAGAGTGAAAGAAACACACTAAAATGAAGAAACCATACTGAATGGGAGAAAATATTTGCAGATCATCCAACAAGGGGCTGACATCTAAGACCTACAAAGAACCACATAACTTGATAAAATAACTTATAATCCAATGAAAAAATGGGCAGAAGAGCTAAATAGATACTTCTCCAAAGAACACATACACTTGGCCAACAGATACATGAAAATTGTTCATCACCACTTTTCATCAGGGAAATCTGAATCAAAACCATAATAAGATCCCACCTCACACCTGTAAGAATGACCTCAAGAGAACAGAAGCAACAAGTGCTGGCAAAAGTGTGGAGAAAAGGAACCATAATAGACTATTGGTGGGAACATAGATTGGTCCAGTCCCTATGAAAATAGTAAGCATTTTGAGATTCCTCAAAATATTAAAAATAGATCTATGATAGGTTCTAGCAATTTCACTTTTAGGTAGCTATCTGACATATATGAGAACACAAATATGAAGGGATATATGCACTCCTCCATTCTGTACAGCACTGTTTGCAATAGTCAAATTATGCAAACAACCTAAGTGCCAAATGTCAAATGAGTGTATTAAGAAGATATGGGAGATACACAAATACACACACACACACACACGCACACACACGCACACGCGCGCACGCTGGAATACTATTCAGCTACAAAAAAAAAAAAAAAAAAGAAAGAAACCTTGCAAGAAGGTTTCATAATCCTGGAAAGGATTATGGTGAGACATCAGAAGAAGATGACAAATACTGTGTGAGTTCATTTATATGTGGAATATGAAGAAACAAAGCAAAGGAAAAACAAACCAAAATAAACTCTTGGAATCTGACTACATAATTAAGGTTACCAGAGGGAGGTAGTTAAGCTAAAGGCAGAGGGCAGGTAGTTGAGCGAAAGGCAGTGGACTGTGGTGGTAGATTATTGAGACTTTCTTTGATGGTGGGTATAGTGTGGTAATAAACATCTGGAAAGGTGGGAACCTAATACCCTTAAATCAAACACTGTTGTAAGCCAACATTACTTTAATAAAAAAAATAAATTTAAAAAGCTAAAAAATAGGGACCTCCCTGGTGGTGCAAGGGGTTAAGAAGCTACCCCCATGGTGCGGTAGACCATTCCTGACTCACCCGCTGCTCCCCTCAGCAGTGTACTTCAGTTAATCCACCTGCTCTGTTCCCCACTCTGTCTCTGGTGAATCCTCTCACCGCCCCCACACACACCTCTGGTCTGTAACCCAGCTCTTATATGCATAAATAAATAATTTTTTTTTAAAAAGCTAAAAAAGAAAATAATTTCACGTCTTGTGCCAATTCTAACTGAATGCTATCTTTAGAAGAATCTAAGAGCAAGAATAGTGTGGAGGTACCCACTAGTTGGCAAGGTTTGCCATGGCAAGAGAAGGCATAGGGGCATATTTGACACTTTTGGTTAGAAGATGACATAACAGAAGTTTTTGTAAACTGTGATTTGGATAAAAATTTTCCCTAGTGATATTATTTCAGTTGACTGCTTAAATTTTGAGACCTAAAAAATACACTGAGATCACAGCACTATAAAACTTTTTTCAAGAATAAAGGCGTCCCTTAGGGCATCCCTGGTGGCTCAGGGGTTAAGCAGAGCACTGTGGAGCTGACCACAGCCTCTGCAGCATGAGTTCGATCCCCAGCCAGCCAGCCAGGGAGTTACCTACACGGCACAGCAGACCTCTCCAGTCTCACCCACTGCTCCCCTCAGCAGTGTATTTCAGTCAGTCTTCCTATTCTGTTCCTCACTCTGTTGCTGGTGAATCCTCTCGCCTCC